AACATAGGAAGCCGACTGAGACTGAGTCAGGCCCTGAGACTGGCTGGCAGGAGCTCTCTGGACTTCCAGGCCGGAGCCTTTCCTAGTCCCACCTGGAGGACTGAACTGACCTTCTGCAGGTAAAGCAGGGGATCAAGCGCTGAGCTACAACCCTTCCTCAAATTGCAGCTCTCTATGCAGAATGGCTGCCATAGCTACAAATGGCTACAAATTACTTTTTGTAGTAAGAGCACTAGGCACATCTTCCATTAAACACTGAGATACAATGTCAGTTTGCTCATGAATTCTGTTTTGGAGGGAAACTGCTTTTCCATTATGTTTTTGGGAATTCAGAGTCAGAACCTGGGAGCTTCTGCATGCAAAGCATTTACTCTGCTACTGATGTAAGGCTCTTTGTAATGCGGCATCTTATCAAAATGAGACTCTAATTAGTATGTATATGTCAGAATCCTGGAATCTCAATTTGAGAAGAGGGAATAAAACTCGGGAAAGATCAAGCATCCAGCCCATCTGAGGCTTTATTGTATTTACCCCAAGGTTCCTGCGGTACTCACTCTCACGATAATGCATGCATTACCAGGCAGGCAGGGGTGAACTCTGCTGCAAAGCTTCAATACCATTGCAGGGTATTTTATAGGTGCACAGGTACAGGGCAATTGATGACAGAATGCAGAGATTACATTAAGATTCTGAGGTCATCACATACAGAACAGATAAAGGAATGTTAGTCAATCATACAGTAACAATGAGATTACAATATTTCTAATTGCCTGTATTGACACTTTAGTTCAGTAGCTTGAACCCATCTCCAGGTCTGCTTGGACATGTAAATTCAAGCTACTGAGAAACTATGCATGAACTCAAAGACTCTTATCTAGACTCTAGACATTCTGGCCAGGGCACATGGAGCCTCTGGGCTAGGAAGATACTTCCTTGTAAACTGAATTCCAACAATGACTATTTACAATGTATATTTGGACTGAATGGCCTGTCTACTGTAGCCCACAGCTAAAGGTGAGAGAAAGAAGCGGGGGGGGGGGGATGCCATTTTAAACAGTGACAGCTTGGTTTTGAGAAGGAAGACAGGATTTGATCCCACAATGCAAAGGCACACACAGAAGTAATACTTTTCAGACAGGATTTACCCAAATTTTCCCAACACGTATTTAACAATAACTCAGGTTATCTATCCCTGCACCAACTGAGTACTCCAGTTGATTGTTTTTCTTTTCCAAAAGAGAAAGTAAAGGGCTTAACTTGCGCAGATTTTTTCCAGTGGAAGGGAAAAAGAGGAAAAGGTCACAGGTCTGATTTGCCAGATGTAGGCATTGCTGCAGCTCCTCTGCAGGTGCCTTCCCAGTGCAGTCCAAGCTTGTTCTGGATGGATTAACTTATGCAAATAAGTAACAGCCAAAGTCTCTCTGTATGTGTGTTGTGAGAAAGCACCCTTTCCACTTAGGAAAAGAGACGAATAGAACATTTCCCAGGCCTTCTCATGGACTCAAAGTAAATGCACATTTATGACAAGAGAGGGACTGTGCCTGCCCCAGGCAGCACCCAAATGTTAGGGCATTAGAGCCAAGAAAGGAGCATCGCTTGTTTTTGCCACTTCTAAAGGGCCACCAGGGAGCTTCAGTGGAAAAATACCTGGCTTGGCCTAAACGAACCATGTAAGGAAAGGTGAAAAGCAGCTCCCTCTGAAAAGACTCCCAGACTGCCTGGGCACCGGCTGGAGATTCTGCCCCGTGTAATTTCTGAGGTCATTGGTGCTGTCTATATCTGGCCATGATGGTGGCAGAATCACCTTAAACCCTGCAGGCTTCTTGATTGTAATGACCTTGCGAGTTAGGACAATTATGTGATTTCCCCTGTAATGTCCAATGGTGGTGGTATGTGTGTGTGTGTGTGTGTGGGGGGGGGGTCCTGAAGCAGCCCTCATGGGGAAAATACCTGTATATTTCACACCATAAATATTTTCACTGCTATCATATTCCTCACTTCTATACAGCCAAGAGCTTTCAAACTGACAACCATGTTTTTGAGGATTTTATTACATGGCATCAAATCCATGTTTTGGGGTCATATGCCTACAGAAGCACAAATTGGTACATGCAAATTCACATGGGCTAAGGTCTGTGTGTATGTCTTTAAAGGATCCTGTACCTTAAGGACCCCCCCCCCCCCATTTTTAAAGTGGGGAGAGAAGGACAATTGTTTTCAGGAAAAAATACCCCTCAAAATAGATTCGGGGGCAGAGGGGCAACAGAAGGTGAAACACAGATGGGCAAATATCCAGCTGATCCCGTGAGATCATAGAACAGTAGAGCTGGAAGGGGTCATAACCTCCTGCTGCTGCAGGACATCATGTTACACCATCCCACTCAGATGGCTGTCCAGTTTCTCCATGAATGCCTCTAGTGTGGGTAAGCCCACCACCTCTCTAGGCAACTGGCTTCACTGTCATATTGCTCTGACAGTGAGGGAGCTTTTTACCCTGAATCTGGGTTGTTGCAGCTTGAAATTATTATTCCATGTCCTACACACTCTGGCATCAGCAAGAAGGTATCTTGACCTTCTTTGTAACAGCCTTTGAGGTACTAGAGGAATACCATGTCCCCCCTCAGTCTTGTCTTCTCAAGGCTGAACATGACCAGTTCCCTCAGTCTCTCCTCATTGGGCAGTGTTTCAAAACCCTGGATCATTTTTGTTGCCCTCCTCTGAACTCTAATTTTTCTGACTCTTGAATTTTGATGCAAAAGAGATAATCAGGGCCCCTCCACCCTTATTTCAGCAAGTGTCCTTGGGCAGCAGGATGGTAAGGGAGGTGACCTCCCAAAGATTTGGGGCTACAGCCCAAGTATTAGACCCACAGCCTGATACTGCCTCTAAGCCTACCCTATACTATATTTTTTGTAAGCTGTCCCGAGATGCTTGTAGTGGACAAGTTAGAAAAGCTTTTAATAAATAAATAATCTTTACTGAACTAAGCCTCTCCCAATAGGGAAGGTCCATTAGACAGGGTCCAGTTCAGGATGCAAAATCTCACAGGCCAAGCACCAGGTAGTACAGGCAGATGAAGACAGGAGATCAGAATGAAAGCCAAGTTGAAAACTGGAATGAAGACCAAAGGGCAACTGTAGCCCCAGGCCCTTGACAATGGTGAACCTCCTTAGCCAGGCCCTTGCTAGCTGGATAGCTTCCTCAGAGGCAAGCCTCCTTCTCCAACAGCTGAAGAACTACTTTGACTTTCAGGAGGGGTTGGGTGTGTGTTTGTGTGGAAGCTCTAACCTCAGCCCAGCTGAAACAGCCAATATAATTTGGACTGGAATTCAGCTCTGACCTTGAAAGCAACATGAAGGTGTGTTAATTAATGCACACAGGCCCAAATGGACCATCTTTCAAGGCAGCAAAATCTGTGGCACTAACAAAGGATGTTTTCTTTACTATGAACAAGTCACCACCAAACAAGTAATGGGTTCTCTTTGTGAGTTGTTCATGGTTAACAAACTATGGTTTATTAATACAGGTGGGTTCACACAAAACAGCAGTCCATGCTCGACCCTCAGTGCAGATGCTGTGCTGTGTGAACCTTGCCAGTAGCTTGGTTCTCTCATCACACATGCCAGCTGCATGCTGAAGGATTGACCTAATTACCCTTAGCAGCACTTTGTGTTTGGCAAACCCAGCCCAGGTGGCTTCTTGCCATGGGCAACAAGCCAGCCGGGACCCATAAAGCACTGCAGGGGTTTTTTGGGGAGGGTGGGGTTGGCTGGTTGCGTGAACAACAAGCTGAGCTGCCAAGGGTAATTATGCTAATCCTCCTTCCAAGCAACCAGCAGGCATGGTGTTGCTAATAGGGTTCATGAACACCACTGCAATTTTGCAAAGCGGGTCTGTGTCAGATCAAATGCTAGTTATTTTCTGGTTCGGTGTTTCTACTTTGACCATCTGGCATCCAGCCTTCAGCAAAAGTACTTAAGCTAAGATGCAAGTGATTTATCTAAATGTTCTTCCTGGCCCATCCCCTCGTGGTACCTAGTACACTTCAGATAAGAAGCATCCCGCTGATGAGACCAGCATTCTGGCCAACCAAATGCCCCCAAGAAGCTCCCAGGCACAGCCTTAATGTAACAGCCCCCTCCAAGACATCTTCCCAAGCACCTGGTATGGAAAGGCGCATGACTCCCTCTGGTACTGAAGTTAATATAGAGCCTCCTACATGCTCACCATCTCCTGAAAGCAAAGAGTGATGCACCCTTCCCTGTCCAAAATTATCATTATCTTAATTTCCAGGATTAATTAAACTGGGATACTCATGTAGTCACTATGGGATATAGAAGAGCTGAAGGAGACCCACCAGCCCAAGCTGTCAAGAAATGTTTGCTGAACAGGTGACAGGAGCAGCTCCACTGAGAGGCCTTCAGCTTTGCCACTGGATGAATCGGGCCTGAGTGAAGCCCTGCACCTCTGAGGCAGCACCCCCCACAGCAGGTTGCGGAGGCAAAACTCTTGCTCTGCGCACGCCCATGTCTCAAAGGGCACCAGCATCTCCTCTCTGTAACTGGTTGAATAAGAGTTCCAAAGCCATCGCCACTGTTCCCAACCTTTATTAAACAGCCGTTGCCCTTTGCTAGCCTCCTTCCTAATGGAGCCCATAATTTTCAGTTTTCCCTATACTGTAAGCAAGTAGATTTCAAGGACAGGCCTTCTTGCTCGAGAACCTTCTAAAGCCACAGTGGAGGTGAGACTTGTGGGAGTGATCCTGTTAATGTTCTCTTTCCTCTCCCCTCTCTTGCTCTTCCTCGTCTTGTGATAATATTCTTCTTGGTAGTGGCCTTTCCCCATCCCGCAGGTGTCCCGTTCCACCAAGGGTCCACTTTAGATCTGCTGGCTAATGCCGCCTTCTCATCCATGTCTTCCCTTGGTTCTTATCCGGCATGTCACACTTTCCTCCTGACTTGCTGCCAGTATAGGGGGCTTTGATGGCACGCCGCATGCTGCTAGAACTCAGCAATGTGGGATTCGTCGTCCTCAGTGTGGAACCCATCATCTGCATGAGACTCGCTGTCTGTGTGAGAATCGTTGTCCTCTGCCGGAGACTCATCCCCGGCTACGTAGCCCCTCCTCTCTCGGATGGGGAATGCCCGCCTCACGGGGCGCACCTCATAGACGGCTTCGGAATCATATTCATCATCGTAAGAAAACTGTGGAGCAGACCGATACCTGGTGGGCTCCCTGTGGACACAGTGCCCTCCCCCTTCCCCAAGACATGCTTGGTCCACAGGCACACCTGCAAGAGGAGGAAGAGAGACAGCTCACCTTAGCATCTATGATCACTTCATTTCACTTATTACATTTCTGTATCGCCTAATGGCCGATGCTCTCTGGGTCATTTACAAAGATTAAGATAATTTAAAAGGCATTACAGTAGCGTACTCTAAAACTATTCATATACAGACATATAATAGTATTTGAACAATTTTACACAATGGACCATAAAAAATCCAGAACCTGTTAAAAATATTAAAGGCTGTCAAAAACCTGGGAGAAGTTGATGTTGGCAACAGGCAGACTTCAGAGGGAAAAGAATTCCACAATGGGGGGGGGGGGAACAGCACCAAGAAGACCCTCTCCTTGATTGCCCTGCCCCAGCCCTCCTCAGAGGAAGTGCTTGAAGGTTGCTTCAGATGCTGATTGGGGTATATGGGTGGTTGCTTCTGGGAGATGCATGCCATCAGGTACTGCGGTCCTAAGGCTTTAGGGCACCTTGAATTGAGCTTTGAAACATAGAGACAGCCAGTATTATACATTCAGAGCTTTTAATCCCCACTATCAGTCTGGCCACCACAGGCTGGGTTCCTTTAGGAACAAAAAGGCAGTATCTGGATAGAGAGTCAAGCTGCTGGGCCTTCTAGCCCAGGGCTGCTGTTAGCAGTAGACAAGGGAGGCAGTTGCCCCTGTTTACTCTGGCAGCTGCTCCCCAGGGTCTTTCGCTTCTTCTGCCCCACTCACTGAGAGGCCTGGGGCTGAAAACTTACTGCTGCGCAGGCAGACGCTCCCCAGCAGAGTTTTGGCACATGCTCTGTTACGGAGCTATATCTGATTGTACACTGAGGCAGAAGCAGGTTCAACATTCATGAAAGTAGGAAACCTGGTTTCTTCCAGACATTTTGGAAGCCCCAGTGAATATGGGCAATAGTCAGGGATTATGGAAGTCCAAAACACCTGGAGAATGCAAGGTTATCTTGCCTTGTTTCTTCATAACTTAGGTTTACTAGTTTGCCATGAGCTTGGGGTCACTGTATTATTGTAATCTGGCAATGCTTAGAAAAACAGGATTCAAGGTCAGTGCCAAGGGCTGCTCGTCCTCATGCAGCCAGGCTCCCCAAATCTCAGGAGAGAGCTTGTCTTCACACTTCCCCTGAAACAGGAGAGAGCCAACCAGCTCATTGAAAAATCTCTCTGCAAAAAGGCTTTGACACATGTATAGCTGGGTTATGAGGGCTCCCTCTGAGGTCCTGGACACTCCCTGCCCAAATCGTCTGGGGAAGCCCACCCCTAGTCCCAATGTGTAATGAAGCAGATTGTGTTGGGAGTGTAGCTTCTTTCCTAAAGACAGCTCAAAGCATCGTTCTATAGTTCAGGCTTTTGTTCCTTACCATTAACAAGAACAGATTTAAGTTCCCCATCCTCTTCAACTTCCACTCGTTCTTCTCCATCCTCGACAATTCTGTGAAAGAGAAAAGACTGCTACCATTACATGGCCAGTAGAGGAGAAAATCAAAGCCTTTGGGGTTAATCAAAGACCATTGGAGCTCCTGTTTGTACAGTCCCAAATGGCTTGCAAGAAGAATTGAACTTTAGCAGGAGAGAAAAAGAGCTTCTTTCACATCTGGCACAGAAATGCTAAGCAAAGCCAAGGAGAAATGATACCCCAAGAAGCATAAAAGGTGGGAAGGTTTAAACACCACCACCCTGGAGTCCCATGCCCACTATAACAAGTATATGGAAAGCAGTTGCTACAATGAGCATGATGAGTGGAAAGTGTAGTTTGTAGTTATATTCGTGGAACATGGGAGCATGGAAGATGAGAAGAGGTAGAAGACATTCAATTTAGGTTCATCCCACATCCATCACAAGACTGTAAGTGTAGCACCTCCAGCTTCTCCATGAGGCAGCACTTTTCTTCCTCCTCCCTATCTACTTTCTTAACTATCTAGCCTGAGGAGGCATTCTGGAGAACTCTAAATCTCGCACATCATTTGTGATATTTTCACTGACCAAATAAAGACAACAGCCTCAGACAGGTTTTGCAATAATTGCAAAAGTCAACATGGTTCAAAGGAAGAATTACGAATCAGTTATACAATTCTGCATTCTCCTAATTGCCCACCAGGGTGCAAATACTTTTCTTTACTAACATGTTCTGAATGTGTTTGGTGAACACCTGTCCAAACAATTTACTCATGTGGCTGCTGATAGACTCCATGATTTTTTGTTTTGCAGAGAATTTATCATAGATGATCCAGTCATTTGCCCAAATTCAAGCTTTTGCAGATCAGATTCAAGCTATTGCCTACAATCCTTTGAATGGGATGATGTAACTTAGTGTTCTATAATAGCAGGGGGTTGAATTCTATGGTTTTCCGGCTCCTTCTGGCTCTCTGATTTTACCTGGAGGCCAAATTCAGCCCTGAGATGGTCACATCCCTTTCCTCCAACCACTGGTCATCTGGTGTGTTCCAAGCTTTTGTGCTGTTTCCTCAGCCCTACTCTAAGAAGTTGAAAAGTCTCACTTAAGACTCAGTTACTCACAAGAATTGCTTGAAATTAAAATAGGCTGATAATTTTGGTATTTTAGGCCCCACCTCTTGAGTTTGGCCTTGCCCCTTTTCTCAGCCCCACCCAGCACTGGAATCTGGACCAAGAGATTCTCCAAAGTAGGAGTTGGCCCTTCTCCTGAAAGAGTTCGACAACCTTGATGTAGATAGAAAAGAGTCAGACTTGAAAGCAAACCTCTGAAATGGATGACATAGATCAGCATTAGAATCACACGTTCATTTTTGTGAAAGTTACCTTGCCAGGGCAGGTACCCCACACAAAGAAACGAAGGTAATCTGCCCCACAGCTTCTTCCAGGCCAATTCCATTGCATCGCTTCTTATTTTTCACAGAGCTCAGGTTTACACATTTTTTTAGCTGTCCTAGTTAGCCTGACACACAGCGATTAAATGTCAGGTGGGTGTACCAGCACCATACATAGCATGGATACCTTGAGTACATCATGTCACGCATTTCGCCAGGACAAGTTATGGCTCTGGGTGCTACCAGCCCACCCTCACCTCACCTTTTGGTGGTGATTTGTTTGCCATTGATGAAGTTGCTTGATGAAGAGTAGAAACGGAACCCTTTTCCTCCACTGGCACAAGCACTGAAGGCCATCGGCTCTCCTGAAACAACAAGAAGGCCAGCTCAGGCTTGGGAGGTGAGCCAAGGAGCCTCTACAACCTTTTAGGCTTCTTGATTCCAGGAAAGGAAGTTGAAGACAGACCCTCAAAGAGCCCCCCCCCTTCCAGCCCAGGACACTGCTGCCCACTGTCTGAGATGGGATGCTGAACCTGAGACGCCTCTGACCAGGGAGAGGTCCGCAGCTAGGACCAGTTTTGGTTTAACTACTTCTCCAATGCCCTTTCACCAGTGTAAATATCTCTCCTACATGCTTATGCTTGCACCACCTTGCTATTAGACCCACTCTTGGGATTTCCCACCCCAAGCCAATAGCTCTGGCTGGTTAGGCTGAAGAAGCCCTGCTTAAATTTTCCGATTTAATTCACTCCATCCACGAGGGCATACCCAGAGCTACCAGCCAGAAGGCATCCTGCTTTTTCCTTAACAGACTTTCTGCAGTTAAAAGTAAAAGATAGAAAAAGAAACAGGGAAGCACTGCAGGGTTAGAAGTGAAAGATGAAGATGGCTGGATCCCCCACGCTATCCTGTGTATGTGGAGGGCAATAACACCACAGAAGCCTTATCTGGAAACACCCCAAGTTCCACAGATTTTAACTTATGCCCAGCAAAATGTACTGGGCACTCATGCAGAGGATTTGTGTTTAAGGAGTCAAGCTGCAATGGTCTTAGATGCTGGAGAGATTTTGCCGCGCCTGCAGTACGAGACCGGGGCATTCTTGCTAAAGTCATCTGGGCATACTTGTCCTACAGAACCCTTTATCTTCGCTTCTGGCTCAGGGTTAACTGGGCAGATTGTGTTTGCTGGTGGACAAAGGGTAAATCAGATCACTTTGGGATATCATCCAAGCATAAAGGGGATTTTCACATACCAAAGAAAGGGTCCCGTCCCCCAAAGAAGTCCCTGAAGACATCATGGGCACTGCGGAAATGGAACATATATTCAGGGCCAATGTTGGTTCTAGATGCTCCCCCAGGCCTACCTGAAAGAAGTTAAAATGAAAGAAAACACATTTCAAGGGCAGGCATTCAGGGTATATGAAGAGATGCCAGGAAGGGACAGAGATAGGAAATAGGAATCCATCTCCTTTTGCTCAGCCATGTACTCCGGATACAGAATTTAAGAAAACAGGAGGATGGTGTGTTTTCTATCAAGGCATCACTGTGTGCAAACAATCCTTTGAACCTTAACTTCTCAGCTCTTACAAGAGCAAATGGGCCAGTTTAATGTAAAGTAACACAAAGTTGCAATCCAGCCAAGCTGCAACACTTTCAAGCCCCACTGATTTCAGTGGGAAAGAGCTAAGTGTACCCATAACTCCTCCACTGAAACCAAATCAAATCAAAAGCGCTCCCTAAATAGATATACTCTGACTTCCTAAAAGGGTATGGGAAAACAGCATCAGGGAACTGTAGATGCACTGATGGCTGTAACACCACCCAGAACAGATGTGCTCATGGCCGCCTGTAGGGTAATGTCCACACAAACTGGCCAGCCCTTCCATTGAAATTGTTTCATATTTTCCCCAGGTACAAATGTATAGCTGTTTGGAAATTATACACCTATACTTTGCACCAGGGGTAAACAGTCTGATGGCCACCAGATGGGCTTGGACTACAGTTCCTATCACCCCCAGCCAGCATGTCCAGTGTTTGTTATGATGGGAGTTTTAGTCTAAAGCAAGTGGAAGGCACTGGGTTCACTTTCCCAAGTGAAAGTGGGAACTTGCATCCACCTTGTGCTTACCCAAAGACACACTAGCCCCTGCTCCTGCTTCTAGTCTCCTGAGAAACACTCTTTTTTCTTGGTACAGCCTTGTTTTTTCTTGCCTGTCACCAAGATCTTTGCTACTGTTGTGTTTGCCAGGCCATACTACAGCCTTGCCTTTTCATAATTGAGTGTCCCAAGCTTGAATGACATATTCAGTGAATTGCATGACAGTTTTTCTCCTCAAAACACTCTAGGAAGAATGGCAGCTAGAAAGAGTCTGCTTAACCCTTTCTTCTCCTGCCATTTACCAACTCAAAGCCAGTCTTCCCAAGCATCATCTTCTGTTAGAAGGAAAGACACCAGAATGATAAGAATTTCACCCAGTGGATGAAAAAGCAACTTGGCAAAGGCAGATTTGAGCAAGAAAAGCACTAAGTGGGAAAGGATTAAGCACTGAGCTTCTCTCCATGTACCCTTCTTTATCTTAGATGCAATCTTCTCCAGGAAGTTTTCAATTTAAAAAAACATGGAGGAAAGAAACATATTTCTAAAAATTCATAGTTTGCCTGATTGAATGAGCTTGCACATCATGAAAACAAACCTAGTGGCTTGTTTAATCCTTCACTAACTCAATTGCCTGCCAATCAGATGATCAGGTGTTCCTTGCTTTGCTATAGTTTTCTCACCTTAGCCCACCCACCTGCTTCTGGCACATAATCACATGTCCTTTGCAACACTTCAATAGGTTAAGTTCATCCCATCTGTGTTTTGCAGATCACCAGGCACCTTGCTTTAACTTTCTGGAATTACATGTACAATTATCATACAAACTAGACCCAAGTGGCAACCCAGAAACCAAAACTGTGTACTCTCCCTTTGAATAAATGTGGATTTTAGGGGAATGGGCCTTTTTTAAACCATTTTTTCAGTTTTGGAAAATTTATGAAAGTTTCATGGTCCCTATCAGTATTCGATCTGAACAATTTTTCCATTTGTGAAGAATGATCTTGATTGCAAGATTATGAAGCAGCCAGTATAAAAGCTAAGTTTTCTGCCACTTCCACCAAGCAGCTCTGTGGCCTTCTGAAACATGTGCTGACAAGTCACTTGAGAACAAGCAAGTGCAAAAACAAGCCAGGCTAAAACTACCTTGCTGGATTCAGATGTCACAACAGCTCATTCCAAAATAACCCACTGTGTGTTGTTGCGCTGGGCAAGCCAAGTCACATTCTTCTGCAGTTGTGACTGAGGAAAAAGTTTTATCCGGCCTGTCACTTACCTCTTCCCATGAGTCCATCTTTGCCATAGCGGTCATAGATGTCACGTTTGCTGTCTGAAAGGGAGAAAAAAGTTAGACCATAATTCTCCATCAGCTCCAAAAACAGTTTTGTTGTTGCCATTTTACAACACACCGGGTTGTGTATCACTTGGAAGTAGAAACGAACACTTGTTTGGGGCAATTGCTTCTGCCAGTGCTCCTCCAAACCGAACTATGGAAGATGCTTTGAACCTTGAAAGCAGCAAAACAGCAATATTTGCACTTTTCCAAATTTTGCTATACAGCTTGCAATTTAAAAATTGTGCACACAAATGCATACATTCAGGGAAGATACACACAAAATATCATAGTATTAGAGGAAAACTACTTGCAAAGGTATGTATTTAAAAGCATGCACATAATGTATATGTTTGGAATAGTACATACAAGGATGTGGACATTTTGATAATACTTACGCAAACATTGTGAATGTTCATACAGACTTTTAAAATAGCTAATTCATGCACTTTTGCAGAAACGGGGTAGAATGGACTTAGGAAAAATGAAAAAGTGAGTGAAACTGAACTTGGCAGATATATCCATCCATATATCCATGTAATGAGCAGGTTGGTCATATGACAGACAGCACCTGCCATCTGAGTTCAAAAGATTTTAGACTCAGCCAAGGAGGTTCATTGCAAGCACCAGAGCTTGGTAAGGTCTGGGGACGGGTAGCTGGTATCAACTCCCTTGAAAAGAACAAGAGATAACAGGAGAGCCAATAGAGATGGTGGAGCGTGCTGCCATTCACCTCACTCACGCAGAGAAGGTGTGTGTCAGGTCTAAGAGTGGCCAAGAAAGAAGTGATGATGCTCCCTGCCCACCTGCCCTGCGGGAAATAATCTGAAGATCACACACTTCACATGAATATTATTTCTTCACGAATGTAAGAAAATCAACAACAACTATGTTCAAAATGTCTGTAGTCCCATGTGTGAAATTCATATCAGTATCTCTTTTGTTGTGCTTGCATATGTTGGAAAGCCATAATATCGTGCATTATCCAGAATTAAGGGCATCTCTAAATGTACCAAAGCAGGATGAGTTATGAAAGGGCCCTAGTTAACAAAGGGTCTATCTGCATTAGCACAGGCCATGCACTAAGTGCCTGAATATACTGCAAATGGCTGGGCTAATCCACCTTTCTTCGTAAGGCCTGTGTCTTACTAACACCTGTTTTCCTGATTCCTCTAGAAAAAAAGTGAGTATTTCTTTAGAGGAAGCACTGGCACTCAATGTGTCTAGTCGGTGTAACTCAGATATCGCAAGGGAAGAAAACTATCTTCCAGACCATAAACTGCCACACCTACTCATAGACCGGTGTGTTAGTGAGCCGCTGTGTTCTGCCTCCCCACCCCTTCAGCTTGTGTTCAGTTCTTAAAATTCCATCAGAGAGGTGCATCACCACAAGCAAAATCTTGATGCTTGTCCAGCACATCTGTACAAGAAACATGTGATTTGTGCAGCTCTAGAAAGGAAAGAGCAGGGAGGAGGAGGAGGAGAAGGAGGAGGAAATAATTAAGAAATATGACAAGAGGCACTGATGAAGCCATAAGAAAGAGATTGAATGCTTACTGTCAGAAAGTACTTCATAAGCTTCTGCAATCTCCTTGAATCTCTGCTCCGCATATTGCTTGTTGTCTGGATTTTTATCTGGGTGCCACCTGAGAGCTTTCTTTCTGTATCTTCATGGTTCCCCAAAACACAATGAATGATACATTAGCATGCCTTTACCCAGTGTCTAGCAACCGCCTTTAACCATCATAACCTTGTGGGTACAGCTACCTTTTTGTCTTTTACTGACCCCAGGACAAATAAGTGAGCAACCTCCTTTTCTTGAACAGGTAATTCTATTCTCTGCTTCTTCCAGGAGCAAAGACTTCAGCCTACCCTCACAAGAGGTGAAGGCAAAGCAGCCAAATTACAGGGCAGCCAAATGTCAACCATTTAATGAGCTATTATTGTTCTTGTTATCATCATGGATTTTGCACAGGGCTCAACAATGCTCAAATACAAGAAACATATTTTTAGTGTTGTGGCAGGGTCAGGGCTGAGCACTGGGCTACAGACTGACCTAACAGCTCTATCATCATGTACATCTATGATGTAAAAAACAAACACATGGATCTCCAAATGCATGTTGAAGGCAGATCCAGGTGGAAAAAGTGTTAGGTATATGTAACATTGCCCGTATTAACATTACATGGATCTGTCCACCAGAGTGGAAGGAAAGGGGTTAATGCCACAGACAAAATGAAACTGGGCTCTCTGCCTGATCTGTGCCCTTCTTGTCCCTTCACTCCTCCCACCTCACCTAGAAAGCCAAAGGCCACATGACCGTTTGCCATAGGCTCCTGCACATGCTGCTCATTCGCTCTCCCCCCACCATGAGAAGCATGTGCTTTTCTCTCTCCTTTTTAAGCTAACCAGACAACAATGAAGCAAGATATTCTGCATGAACATACCAACAGCTCTTCTTCATGCAAGTCACATATGGATTGTTTGTAAGTAAATAAACTTGTTCTCCTTGTATTACAAAAAAAGCCTCTTATTGTGGATTCTGAAAGAACCAGATCCAAGCAACAGTCTCTTAATTAAATCTGCTGTTTAATCTGCTGAACCAAATATATAACAGGTTCTCTGCAAAAGCTTGATCACTGCGGTTCTGGAACTCCTTATCCATTTCCAAGATCAATTTAAAATGCCACTTCCATTATGCTTTTTCCAGTGCCAGACCAAGACATCCTATGCTTCTGGGGTTTTCATACTGAAGAGCTGAGCATGTCTTTGCCTGAACCCAACATGACTTGTTAAATATGAACAGCCCATGAAGGGAACCTGCAAGTTGTTTTGGGCTGTGAATTGTGATTTGTTATCTCAGTAGAATCAGACAGCACAATAACCTTCATTTCAACAAGAGCCTACACTCAGGCTGTGCTCAGTCCTTCAGTGTGAGTCATTGTGTTCTCCAAACCCTTAAACGGTTCATTGTGGAATCAAACTAAGGGGACATCTGTTCTACGTTTTTAGTGATGCCATGCATTGCTCTGTACTGTTTCACTCTCTGCCACAGAATATTTTTCTGCTCAGTGGTGTTGGGGAAGATGTTGAGATGCAGATGTTCATCATGAGAGTCCCCATAGCCATTCCCCAGAACTGCAGCTGTGTTGATTCATGTTGCAAATCTTTTTCCGCTGCAGATTCTTCTGTAAAGCTAATGGGTCTTAATTGTCCATCAAGGCCAAGCCACCCCAAAATACTTTGCATTTCAACAGGGAAAAATACATTGCTGCTTGTAAAAATTAAATCCCCCCTTTCTAGGTATTGAGAGGACTGCAACAAAACTCAAGGAAGACTGGGAATTCTGAGGTGGTTGGAAGATTAGCGAGGGTTAATGACAGCTAATGACCAAGTGCCCACTGGGCAGCCTGGTGAGCCCTGACTCAGGGTCAGGGTTGGAAGGGGCCATGAAAGCCATTGGGTCCAACCTCCTGCTGGTGCAGGATGCCAAGTCACACCATCCCACTCAGATGGCTGTCCAGTCCCTAAGTGTCTCAAATGTAGGAGAGCCCCCTACCTCTCTTGCATTTTCATGACTCTTCCTTCCATTGTGTACTAAAGTTACAGTAATGGGGGAAAGCTCATTGAGTACCTGCTGCTTCTCACAGTCATGATTGTGGCTGAGAGTCTGGGAAGGTAATTTCCTGCTTAGGAAAAAGATAGCATAGGTATGAGGCTAGGTACAACCAAGATGCACTTACGCTTTTTTAACATCATCTAAGGACGCATTTCGGGCAAGTCCCAGTGCTTCATAGTACTCCACCATGGTGAACTGATGCTTTCTGCAGAACCAGGGTGGATGCAAACACAGTAAAAGCAGCCACGTGCTTGGTGTTGTCTCTGGGTATACAGCGAAAATCTTGGGTTCTCAGCTGAGGTTCAAGGTGTTCATGGCCATCCACCAGGCTGGGCAACCCCATGCAAAGGGGCAAAAGGCAGTGGTGTGGACAGTTGATCCTACAGTATATAGGGGAAAAACTTAGGCTAGAACAAAATACATTAACAATTCCCAGAAATGCAGATGTGAAGCAAATAGACCTGCATTTTGGCTTTTTCAGAGCCCAAGATGAAGCCATAGCACCTGTATACAAGTCTGCAAAGCTGCAAACATTTTAAAAAACCAACTGACAGAACCAGCTCTGTTTTGCTGTCAGTCATAGTTATCCATGAAGTTACCCATGGGAATCTTACCTCCATGAAGTGTGATACATGCTAAAATACTAACATGGTGATAACTGTGCAGAGCTTTGGTGCCAGTGTGAAATTAATCTATTCCAGTTCATGAAAGAGTCAACCCCAGAGAATGGTTCCATCCCACTTGTTGACACAACACATAGTTCAGTTCTTGGGTCTGTGAAAACAACCCACCCTTCATGGTAAGAAACAGCTAGTAAGACCTCTCTTTAGGCCCACTTAAGTACGGAGCAGCCAGATCATTCTTGTAAGTTCCAACCATCTCTTGGTATCCTAGCCTCTTAGGTAGCATTCCAGCTTTCTGTCTCTGTGGATTATCCTCTTGAGCTGTTTCAAAATACCTTCCTCTTCTCTTCCACTCACTGCAGGTACCAACAGGTGGTCTGAGCAACTACTCAGCCCAGCTTACCTGATCTGCCCTGTCACCTTTTCCTAATTCAGACTTCTGTCCAGAAACCGTCCGCTTCAGCTCCCATCAGCCCCAGTAGGTATTTTTAGTGGTCAGGAATGCTGGGAGCTGTTGTCCAAAACAACTGGGGGGGGGGGCACCATTCTGGGGAAGATTTATTTATTTAAAACATTTATAACCCGTCCTTTGCATATCCTCAGGACAGCATACAGCAATAAATAATCATAAAATTATTATATTAACGTCTTTTAGAAATGGCTGCAGCCATGGACTGTAAGATATGACACTGTGTAACATTTAATCTAGAATGGGCATCCCTAACCTACCACCCTCCAGATATGTTGAACTTTATTCCTATCATCCACAGACAGTAATGCCTTGGTAGCAGGTGAATATTGGCCACATCTTTCTGAACCCACCTGACAGATCTTTTCATACAAGTTGATCTAATAATTTGTTCTACTTAAGATCAAATACTTACCTCCAGACTCTAGAACAGGTTCTCCCAACCTGACACTTTCCTGAAGTGTTGGGCTGCATCACCCATCATCCTCAGTCAGTGATGCCTTGGTAGTCCAACACCACTGCAGGGTGCTAGGCTGGGGGATCCTGTTCTACAGTTCAGAAACAAGTGTATGGCTTAACGTGGAACAAGTCACCACGTGTTAATGGCTATAAGATGATCAGGTCACATCAAAAGTATCAGGGCCATCTTTGCCTCTGTCTGTCAAACAGAGGAAGCAAGGAACCTAATTGCTGTGCTAACATGAACGTTACTGTCTGCTTCTGGATAGTAGCCCAGCCCCACCCCCAGGCTCCTTTCTGTCACAAAAGGATTGGTTCAGCATTCCCCAACCTGGTGCCCCTCAGATGTTTCAGCTCCTGTCAGCATGGCCGAAAGTCAGGAATGCCATAGTCTAAATCATCTGGAGGGCACCAGGCTGAAGAACACTGGTTGCTCTAAATTCAACACCCCCCATAGGTGCAACAGAAGGCAGGATCAGCCATACCTTATTCTGCAAGTAGAAACTGTCCAGGCTGCATGGTGGGCACAGTTCTAAGGTCTTGCAGGTGTCAGTTTACACCTGCCCAGGCACATTTGCTGCTGCCTGATGGGAACTTGAGAAGAGAATGGAAAAGGAACTGAACTGCTGCCCAGCCCCTCCGGTTCCTTTATTGAGGAACAACTAAGGCAGCAGCCGCGGCCAATGAGAAGCTCAAGATAATTGTGATGTCACTCCATTGTGTTTTTCACTTAGGAGATGGTACATTAACCACTGATCACATGGGGAGAAGGAGGTTCTTTTGCCCACGTAACTGTTCCCACCTTCAGCGTACTGAAGTCCATAATTAGTAGCAGGACTGCCATCCTTTGCACATTTGCATATTAGACCCACCCAAGGCCTGCTGTAATATATTTGCTAGGCACTTCAAGGTTAAAATCTCTTGCATCTGCTGGGACTTAGACGCCAAGGCTACAGCAGCTGAATCCCATGAGGCACTCAGAGCACATCCTAGTCTGGTTTTGTTGGACGAGTTTCAGTTGGTTCAGCTTGAGGATGCTGGGCATGTGTAACCACCTCTGTGCTGGACACTTGCCTCTTGGGCTCATGCAGGCTAGCAGGGAAGAAACAGCTGGCTGCACCAGAGGGGTAGGTGATCGATGCCCCTCTACAAGAAGGTGACTTGAAGAGGCAGTGGTGAGGCCACTCCCAAAGACACCCTCTCAGGATGCAGAAAACCTAAATAATTCTAGGCTTCTGGCAAATGTTCCTTTCGTGGGCAAGGTGGGAGCCAACCAGCTTCCAAGTCGAATTCACAGTGCTCTTTCGACCAATAAAAACCCTTAACAGATTAGAACCAGAGTACCTAGTAGAAACCACTTCCAGCCACAATGTCCTTGGATGCATCTGAGGCCTTCCTCCGAACGCCACCTCCAAGGAAGGATCAGCCTGGTAGCAGCATGGAGGAGGCCCTTTTCTGTGGTAGCCCCCAAATTATGGAATGATCTCCCCACCGAAGTCTGCCTGGCAGCAACCTGATTATCTTTTCAGTGCCAAGTTAAGAATGCTCTCTCTGCTGAGGCATTTACAAACTGCAAGTAGCACCTGGCATGGGGAATTCTTGCCAGTTTTTTTTCTGCAGGTCCAGAAGTAGGGATGGGTCTTAGTTGTTTTAGTTATAAAAATTGGTTTTAAATAGTTTTAATTTTTATGTACTTTTATGATGTTTTATTGTTTTATTCTCTATCATAACTTAGTTGCTGTTGTTTACCAGCCAGAGAGCATTCAATCATTGAAGGGTTGTTGTTTTTTTAATGGGTGTTCTATCTCTAAGACATCGCAGAGTGTTTTTTCCTGCTTCATCAAAAGAAAAGGGCTTGCGCTACACATATTGTCCTCCAGTTGTAGGAGACCTGATGTTGTTGCAAGTGTGTTTCCTCCCTTCTGCAGCTTCCTTGGGCCCAGCGAGGCAGGAGAAGCACCTGTGCTCTCACTGAGAATGGTTAGAGCAACACCAAACAGAACTCAGTTCAGTGAAATCTCTGCACAAAGATGAGGCCCCGAAGAAGTGCCTTGTCTTGGCCTCTCTTTGTGTGCATGTGCCACTTGGTCTCACTTACCTGGTGTCCCTTTTTTGTTCCTCCAGTGCCTCAGGCTTCTGCTAAGTTATTCTCTTCAGCAAATTATTACATGTGCCCTGGAGATAGCTTAACATGAAAGCTCTTTGGTGAAAGATGAAACTGTCCCAAGGTGAGGTCTGTTCCTCTAGCACCACCACATGAGCCTTGAGCATGTTTTCTCCCCCTTTCCCTCACTTGGAGAAAGCAACCTTTCCTAAGCAGGCCTGGGGATTAGATGGGGCATTGCATGAGACAAGAACAGGAGTTTTAGGAAATGAGAAAGCCTCAACTGAAGAAGGGGGCCTGGACATTTCCCCACTTGTCAATGGAGATAGCCCTCAGTGCTGATCACATGTCCCAGTTTTGTTTTAATAGCAGGTAAGCATAAATCCAGAAGACTCCAACATCTTGGGTTATGCCTTGGTCTATGCACTGTGATGTTTACCGGGAGGTGGTTGAAGCCCCTTTGGTGAGGGAGTTCAAGGATAGGCTGGACATGCATGTGGAAGGCATTTCATTAGTGGAGCCAGGGGTCAGACTAGATGGTCTGGGAGGCCCCTTCTGGCTCGCTCTGTTTCTATGTTTATGATACAGAACGCACATCTTACAAGTGAGCCAAGGCGGTTTAGTGATTAGAACAGCCTCCCACAACCTGGGGCTCTCCAGCGTCTTCTAGACTACATATAGAGCTCCCAGCATTTCTGACCACTGGCTGCTCTGGGTTAGGGTGAGACTCAGGAAACCCAGCTTCTACACTCACTTAGCCATGAAGCTCACTGCGTGACTTTGGACCAGTCATGGATGCACCATCTGACCCACCTCACAGAGTTATTGTGAGGATAAGATGGACAGGAAGATTGTGCCACAGGCTCCTTGGAGGAAAGGTGGGATAGAAATGTAAGAAATAGTAATAATTGTACAGCTCATTCATTTGGCATTGAATCCTGAGAATTCTGATTTTCATATATGAAAGAAACAAAAATAAAAAACAGGGCCACAAATGCAGCCAAATACTCTCAAAGTCTGATTGCTGTGAAGGGAAGGGAGAAGAATGTGCTTCGTTTTTTCTCACTGGAATCAGTGGGACGTTGAGGTTGCAAACCTAGAGCCAATTTTCTTGGATGTCAGCCTGACTGAATTAGTGGCTCTTGTCACTGAGTAAACATGCTGTAGAGTGTCTGGACTTGGCTGCATCACAGTCCAAGTCCTCATAGTTACAAATCACTGTTTACTTTTTGTTACAGGATTAGAAATCAGCAAGAAAATGGGTACGGCATCCAGTAGATATGTGGGCGGTTCTCATACAGTCATTTCTCCTGGCCTCTTGTATGTCACTGATACATCCCACCTCCCCACATTCACCCTTCTTTATTTCCATGCATCCTGAAGCTTCATTTTCAATCTCTGATGGTAAACTGAACACAGTAGGCCCGTTTGCATGACACTTGACTCATGCATTGCACATTCAAACTGGTAGCTACATGCACCACCACTGGTCATGAGCTGAAGAACCCACAATGAGCTGCAATGCGTGCAGCTT